GCCTGGGCAGCTACTTGGATCTCCCAACCCAAGCCAAATGGCAAGTGCCCATGTCTCTGGACCTGTGCTCCCATGGAGGCTGGAGACCCTGACCACACTGATCCGAAGAAGTTCAGAATCTTCAGATCAGCTCAGCTGAGTATTTTCCTAATCAGAGATCCTCTTTAATTTGGACTCATCCCCTCGGCTGTAAAATGGGAACGTGGAGCAAGGAATACCACCCTGGACATGCAGACCCCGTATGGCCGTACTCGCTTCATTCCACCCGAGTACAGCAGCCAGCTCCGACCTCCGATCCCTGGACTCTACCTGCCAGGTGCAGCCAAAGGAGGCAGACTTAGCCAAGCACTTCCCCCAGCCATTTTCTCTGATGGTTGAAGCCAGAAGCCAGGAGCCCACCATTCTCCGTTACAGGGCCCATCCCATCGTCCAAGCAAGCCTCAGTTCCCACACGAGGCCCGGGCCCACGTGGGTAAGCATGCACACACAGAAAGCAGAGGGCCAGGCGGAGGACACGGCGGTAGCCACACCCACGCTAACATGGCGGTGGGAACCCAGAAAAACAAAAGACAAGCCGGGGGGAGGAAAAGGAAAGAAAGAAAGAAAGAAAAAAAAAAAAAACGATCAAACAAAAAACAAACAAAAAAAAAACCAACTATGATGGTTTTGCCCTCACTGTAAGACAGGCCGGCTAAGACATACCTTTTGACTAGGACTGCACAGCTGTTCGTTCTTGGGACTGCCGACAAGGTGGATGGTCTTCTCCATCGCCCCAGGGACCTTGAGCAAGTGTTGCTTTGGTTTATTTCAGGAGGTGCTATTGGAAACATAAAACAAAGTGCCTGGAGGGCACTATAAAAAAAAATAGAAGAAGAGACACGGGAGACTTGATCATCCAACGGGAATTTATGTTTGTAAACAGGGGCCAAGGGGAGAGGGAAATATACTGTGAGGTATCATTCTTTCGTCCATGAGCGCGGCCTCGGGTTGCTTTGTCACCGCTGAGTCCATGACTTTCTGTTTATATTCCATTCCTGCATTTGGAAATTGCTCTTCGCCAGGAGGAAAGTGAGGAAAAACCCAGCAACAACACCACAGCGGCTATGCTGGCGGAGGGGAGGAGCCCAGGAGACGCTGGAGGGAGGCCACACGCGGAGGCCCAGACTTCCCAGGAGCTGCTGACATTTTCTCGCAAGCAGGGAGGAAGATGGAAAGGTCAGGGAGCAGAAATGGGGAGGGGGTCTGCCGTAGGGAGCCACACACTCCGTGGGGTACAGAAAGTGCCATCATCTGCAGGCGAGGAAATCCTCCTGACTAGGTGTCCTTGAATCAACCCCTCCCCCAGCGGCTCTCTCCCAAGCAGGATATCACTTCAATTGCTTTGATTTCCCTTCGCTGGCTCTCTCTCTCTCTCTCTCTCTCTCTCTCTCAAAAAAAGGTCCATTTCTAATAATAGCTAGAATACATAAATAATAATTTTTAATGTTATTCGTTCTTTGTTTCCAAACCCAATGTTCCTCCTCTCTTCATTTTGCCAATAAATGGGAAAACTGAGGAAATCGACTCTGCTCGTGTCAGAAAGATCCCCTCCCCCCCAAAGAGAGACAATCCACCTAACTTCCCATTTCTATGGAAAATAAACAGTACTTCATGATGCCATCTCTCTGAAGGACTGTTATCCTGCTCTTTTGTTCTGCTTTGTTTCAGTAGTTTGTGCTTCGGTTGTACATACCCAGAACAGAGGGGAAGGGGGAAAGGATGCGAGGAAGGAGACAGGAGAAAGCAAGGATGGAGGGAAAACCTAAAGTTGACTTTCATTGAAAAAAAATATATATCAGACCCAGAATAACGACCAAAGTCAGAGGGTGGCGGCTAGTCGCCCAGAGAGTCTGGTCCGTGGGTTTAGCAACTGCCCTTTTTATCTGCTGTGGGTGAACCCCGGCCACTGCGGCGTCCTCGGCAGGAGCGAGGCTCTTCCAAATCGTCCTCATCAAAGCCGTGGAAAGTTGACGTGTCACTTTCTGATGTGGAACCGAATAAGTCCTCCGTGGTGCGTGCTGCGGCCGCTGCCTCCTCCTTCCTGCCTTCTCCTCCCAAATGAGCTGACATGTATGATGAATATATCAGCACATGGGTTAAGCAACAGACAGCATCATTAATACTCTTATTACATTCTTACAATGTTACTCTTAATAGCAAGATCATAAACCATTTCACACCAGGAGGGATTAGCTGGGTGTATCACCTGGTGATAGGGATTTAGGGTAACGGGACAAAGCCAGCGTTTCCAGGGAAAAGGATTCCTCCCCCTCCCAGAAAAGCATCATCTCTACCAGAATATATACGTCCACAGCTCTGACAGCGACAGATTCAACCGTGGTCTTTCTTTCTCCTCTTCCGTATGCACACATATGCATGCACGCTCGCTCAACCCCGCCCCAGACAATGAGTTTCCTTGGTGGTTTTTAAGCCTGGTTGGTATTTCTTTGGTGTTTTCGGTTGGTGTTTCTCTTTGAACATTGTGTGTCCTTCACTTTGACAGTCAGCTTTACAAAGGTATTACTATCAGATAACCCATTCGAGGTGGTTATTTTTATTTTTATTTTTATTTTATTTTTATTTTTACCCGCTTCTAATCCCATTGTTTCTGCACCCTTTCAATTCTGCCCTTACACCATGTAGTTCATTTGCACTGAAAGCACGAAGAAGTTGGAAAGTCTGATAAGTGGTAGGTAATAAGAAAGTCTCTCATTTTCTTTAACGACTGGAGGAAATTTCTGTGATCTGCACCTGCATCCGTGAGCATGCACATATACAGCTGTGTGCACACACGTGCACGCGTGCAGGTAAACACACATACTCCAGCCGCTAAACATGCCCAGGTCTTAGTTACTCCAGAAAGTCCAGAGTTGTCAAATCTGCCTCAGAGCACTAAAAAAGCAGGAAATAGGGGTTTATAAAGCCCAATAAAATACAGTATCCTGAAATCTATAAAACTCAGGTTTAAACTTATTCCCCTTGTAAATGGGCCCCAGGACTGCCCCCAAATGAGGTCATGATGTTTCACTGATGGTGTCAATTTCAGGAATCTCACTTTCTCCCCAGGAAACAGAGGTAGTGGAGTAGATGGGAAGGGAAAGAGTTTTTCTGAGCTTCACAGTCTTCCTTGGAAGGACTCCAAGGAGGCCCTAGAGAAGTATTCGCCCACCTGCCTTAACAAGCGTATCTCATGGGCTAACGCCACCTGTTTACTCCCAAGGTATTGACTATTTCAGGAACATCAGAGTCAGACCTTGACTAAATCATCCACCAAAATTGGCAAATGCAATGAGAACACCTAGGCTGGTACCAAATGGCCCCCTGAGTCACATAGCAGACAGATCCTGGGAAGAAAAAGCTGAATAAAGGCTGTGAGGAGAGAGGCTTTGGACAGACAATACCGGCTGCCCACTTTTGGTCCCCCACGGATCAGATTCAAGTACCCCATCTTTTGTAGGAAAGGAACGGGGAAAATTATAGTAGTTTGCAGTGAGAATTCTGAAGCCTCCCTCTCTAATGCACCCCAAACGCGTAACAGTCCGTCACATTCTGCCTATCACTCTGCCAGGTGACTTTGCTCCTGGCAATAGAGAGTCTGTCTGATCATTTGCTTTTAAAAAACACTGAATTGCATTTCGCTTGTTGCATTTTCTTTAAGTATTTCTAAAACTATTCGTTTTCTTTTGAGTATTTAAAACCCAGAGTCCAGTGTCATAACAGCCCTCTCTTCTAAGCTGACAACGGTAGAGTAAAAAGTTCAACATTAGGTATTAGGTTTGGAAAACAAATGAACACAGACAGGCCACCCTGTCGGGTCCTTAAGAGTTCCATGAGGGTATGTGCAATGGAAACCATGGTCCTTTTTCAATTACTGAGTTGCTACTCAAGTCAGTCTGGATCCCTAAACAACCCAAAACCCAAATATAAAAGGTTTGCAAGCAAGCAAGGGAAGAACTGAGTTGTTGTAGTAAACCCAGGTGTGTACTTCCCTTGGGACTTGGAGCAGGAAAGACCCTGGGGAGGAATATGGAAAGGAGCAATGACTTCTCACTGCTAGCACGAACCACCCAACTGAACTGTATTTCGCCTACTAGTCAGCAATGGACCAGACTAAAGACGAATCTGAGATCTTTTCTCCACCCTGCCTTGTGCTTTGGCTCAGCTGGGACATAAAACAATATGAAAAATAGGTAACACCAACCAATCATGACCAGCCAAAAATAATGGTTTGGTTAGAATTGAAAAACACAACAACTTGAACAAAACTTGAAGACCTGAACTCATGTTGAGAATGAAAGGATAAGACCATTGTCTTTTTTGGTCATTTTTAGTCTTTGGAGAGGTTAAAGATGAAAATTTCAAAACACGCCAAATCGATTCCAGATTAGCCCTGAGAATTCCTGTCCTTTTGCTCCCTTGATCTATCAGGGTCTCTTTTGTCTATTTTATATGAGAAAATGGGAGGAGTGGCCAATGGAGGTGGTATTTACGCAGCTGCCCATGAGCCCAGGGGTCTCAGACTCCCGCAATTCAAGATGTGGCTGCTCTCCCTATGGTCATGCTTCCACACTCTTCCAGTTCGCCCCCGGCATTTCCTAGAACAAACGCATCTTCTCGTTATGTGCGCATCATCCAACACAAGGAGGCATGTGGCCCCGCGCCTCTGTGTCTTTCCCGGACACTACCTCCCTGCTGTCCACAACACACACAAAGAAACAGCCACCTCGTGGAAAGGCCAGACACAAGCCAAAGACTCCTTTCCCTTTTTGCTCCATCTCGGGGCATCATTTTGGTTCTTAAAACTCAAAGAAGAAAAATATGAAAATGACCTGAAAACTCCTCTCCACTCAAAATCACCACCGTCACTTCTCCACGCGAGCCTTCAACTCCCACACAAGACAGCAGAGGGGTGCAAGTGGTCCTGGTCTATGGGCACAGATGCAGGTAGGGGCCACACTCACCAGAGCGTCCACAGTCCGCACAGGATACCAGCTCCTCAGGCCGCCCGCTCTTCTTGTTCATGTTAGAGCCCCCCAAGCAGAAGTCACAGTAGTTGTTGGGAATGACTGTCCCATCCGGTCCTTTCTGGGCTATAGAAACATTTAAAAAAAAAAAAATCCGATTTTTGACTGCCATGAGCTTCTACTGGCCCCTCTTCTCCCACGGCGTGACAGAATCTGCTCCGGAAAGAATATCAAGTCTAGGATATGAGGCCTTGTTACAACGAAGCGATTAAATTGGGCGAAGTTTTCTTTTTGATCCTCTTCAGTTCAACAGTTCTAATACCTTGCAAGCCATCCAGGGTTTAGTTTGATTTTTGCAATATTTGCAAAACCCATCTCTGTGTTTTTACAGAAACTACCCTTGCTCCTCTGATGGCATTCCCTGGATGAGCAAAGCATCTAGAAGGCCTACTAGTCAAGTAAACTTCTCTCATCACTGAACAATCAGCCCTCGGGGTTTAGGCTCAAACAGCAGGTAGCAACCATAAACATTGGTGGGATGAGAGGGAGAGAATGGCCAATGCCTAGGCCTTGCCCTTGGGAAAGATGCTCTTATTCAGGAGATATTCCTTCTGTTCCTGAAAAGAAAAAACAAAGAAGGAAATCTCCTTCCAGGAAGGACATTGAGGATGCTTCTGGGCACTCTGATGAACATCTTGGCAGGTACACAAGGGTCCACTCTTACTCGGCCTCATCTCCCTAAAGTCCAGACTCATTGACATGGAGAAAACTCAGGACTAGTTCATTAGCAGACTTCAAGCACCTAGAAACAGAACTGGACACTTAGCCTCGCCTCATGCCAAAGATAGGTTGAATGGTGAGTTAGTGAGCGCGTCTTGAGGCTTAATATCTTCATAAGCCACCCCTGCTGAAGGTCCTCATTCAAAGGCAAAGAAAAATCTTAGGACATGATCTTAAAAACAAAGCTTGCGAGAATGGCACCTATTGTCAAGCCCTGAAATCATTCTCAGTTCCTAGGAGATGGCTGAAAAGGCTTGGACAGGTTTCTTTGCATGGAGAGAAATGCCTCCATTCTCCTGGTTTTCGATCCTCGTTGTGGAGATTTTTTTTGTCACGTTAACACTCCCTGTTTGCAACTAAGAAGAAAAGTCTGTCTGTTTATGGGATCAGCCTAAACCACAGGGGTATCTTCTTCCTCACTATACCCAATGTCTGCTGCTATCTTTCATTATTTACTGGCTAACATTAATCAGGGTCCCGTAGGGTACAAATCTGTAAAAGGAAGCAGATATGTGAGCAGAAATACCATCCAGACAGTAAGTGATAAACGGATTCACCCACTTTAATATGATTCCCTCTGGCCTTCGCTTCCTCCATGCCTCTGCTTTGCCTCCAGGAATAGAAAAACTTACCTGGGAAGGCAGAAGACAAAAGCTTGCAGAATTACATTATAGAGAGTTAATCCATTTATCAGTTGCTATTTGGATTGTTTAATCAGTTTCTAAGTCATTGATTTTCATCTTTAGGGAGGCAGCCAATTCTCTGCAAAAACGTGTTGGCTGTTGGGGACAGGCAGAGGAGTTGGCCACCCCTGTGGCCTGTTGAGTGTCTTCATCAAGGACTGTGTCTTAAAGACATGACATGTCACACAGAACGGTTTTGCAAATAATCTCCAAAAATCTCGCAAAAATGTTACTCTAAAATTTTCATTGTCCAAGTCCAGAAAGAAGCTCCTTTCTTCTTTCTCTTATTTGCCACCTTCACCATGTTTAGAACTCCCTTAAGAAAATCCAAGCATGTCTATGAAGCAAATAAACTCAGGGTTTTCCCATTATAGACTATCCTAAAAATCAATCCAAAAGTGAACAGGAAGAAGTGGGGTATATGAAATTAAGGGGCTGAGTGTAAACCAAAGCTAACTTTCGTCATTGATATGAACTAGAAACAAAATGTGGCCATGCCAGTCATAACTCAGGTAGCTTCCCGCATGAAAAGCGATCAAAGAATTCCACGTACATCATCCCACTAAAAGTCTCAGGAACCACATCCTCACCATCTGTCTCTCCTGTACTCTTAAGGACTTTCTATTATGTCAGATTTTCTCTCTTTTCACAAAATCTTAAAGCAACCAAAGAATCTGGTTTTCTCCAACACACTATATGCCTTGCAATTTATGAGGATGAAGTAGAATATAGACTATAAGAACTCCCAGGTAATTCTTTACAATCTTCATCACCAACAGACCATTGGATGCCCTCATCGAATCAGGAACTCTAATACTGCAAGAATTAAAAATTCAGAAATGATCTAGTAGAGCAAGGCAGATAGTGATAGAGAAATTGGTCCTGTGTAAAAAAGCCAAAGGAACAGCATTTATCTAATGAAGAGAAGTTTCTGAGAAGACTGGATCAGAGCAGGATCCCCACATATATTTGTGTTGGTTGCTGGCCATACAGAGTGCCTGGTCAAGGGGGTGAAGAAGGTGCTAAGACCCCGTTGTAGGCCCTGCTGTGTGTAGCTGTGACATGTCAGGGCTGGTGGGGAGGGGAAAGGTATCATTTTAGTCTAGCATTGACCCAGTATACAAAGTGACAGTGAATATTAGGCTTCATTTTTGGCAAAATCCTACTCTCTTCTCATAATAGTGAATTCAGAACTTCCTTTCATCTTGGTATAATGGTGTGGGATAGACTAATCAATAGCTTTTGCCTCTGGTCCTCTTACAGTTTTTGGTATTTAGAATTGGTTTCAGGGTGATTTTTCCCATAAAGTTCTCCCAACTCCCCAGCTAAAATGGCCAGTAAGGCCTTGGGAGGGCACTCTGTTGACATCACTTTTATGACCCTTCTCTTTATACACATGTACTCCGGCCTCATCGACCTGTACTAAACGATCTACTCCTCCAGGTCGGGCACCATGTCTAACTCATCACCGGAACACCTACATGGCCTGCGTGCAGGAAATGGTTAACCACAATGTGTAGGATGAATGGCTTAGAAAAGGATGGCAGAGATGTGAGCAGACAGCCCAGTGACACCCCTGGGACATCCTCCTAGTGGGGACAGAGCACTGTGTTTGCTCGCCCTGTGGCAGAGTTATCTGTCGCTCGGAATATCATTCACTACATGGTTTATTTCTCAAATCCTCAGAGAGAAGTGCTGGTCCATGTCTAGATGGATTGGTCAGTCATCTGGCCTGGCATCAGGTCTAGCTCCCAGAGTAAACCAGAGTGGGTGGCTGAGGGCCCTGGGCTGCTGGAAGAATAACACTGTAGCCCTACTATGGTAGGAGAAACAGCATCCTGTTCACAAACATACAAAAAAAGTAGAAGACTGTGATTCATTGTCTCTTAAGAAGGGGACACCCGGTTGCTACCCACTCAGGCTCCCTCTTGTTCAATGGCTTCTTGAAAAGAAAAAGAAGCAGACATGTACTATGCTTCAAAACTGTGACAGATCTTATGCTGGATGCTTTACATACATTGTTTCATTGATTCTCACAAAAACTTTGTGAAGTGGAGATTATTCGACAGATGAGGTAACTGGGACTCAGAGAGATTAAGGGGCTGGCTTCAGGCCCGTTCCAAAGTGCAGGAGGGGAGATTCACCCCTGAGCTGTCTATGTCCCCAGAGACTCTCTGCCTCCTGGAAAGTCCAGAGGCAAACACTTCCTGGCCATACCTCGCATATAAAATATTTCATAAATCTCTTTCGAGTCAACTTGATTCACCCATATGTCAATTAGGAAGCCCAAAGGGACAAAAATTATTGAGATCGGCCTGATAAAAGCAGAAATTCCCTTTGAACTTAAATTTGATGTCCCTACCACGGTAATCCACGCTGGGTGATCCTGTTTATTGTCACATACTCTGTGAAAACACTTCTCCAGAGAATTCCAGAAGCTCTGGAAGGAATTTTTTCAAGCAAAGCTTACACCACAGCTATACTGGCCTATGGCCTGACCCAGCCATGAGCAATTTCCTGGTACCGTGTATGAGATCATTATAAAAAGGATTTTACTATAAATAGGAAGCTCACCCAGACCTGGTGAGAGGGATTTAAATAGAGATTCTGCTTCTGCCTCTGGGAAATCGAGTCCCACTTTATAGAATAAGACAACAGGAGGGCAAAGACCCGAGTGGTATCTCGATGGCAACGTCCGTAAAGATGGATTTGGTTTTTCATTGATTAATGTTCACGGGCTGAGATCATATAAGAGATACGAGGGAGCTGCCAAGAAAATAAAGTGAGCCCAAAGAGTTTAGGAATTTACCTGGGGGAGATAATTCTAAAAATCTCAAAGGGGGAAAAAAATGGAAATCAAGAACAAAGTTCATGAAAATACACACACACACACACACACACACACACACACACACACACACACAACAGAAGATGGGAGGGAGCATTCCAATCAAACCAAAAGAAAGGAAAAGCCAAGCCCCAGTCTCCCTGCCACGCCCGGTAAAGGGTGAGCAGTCATTCTGGAAAGGTCTCAGGGTACACTACGGGATTTTTTTTTCACTCTGATCAGGCCACGTGTCTATGGCAAACAAGGCCCCGAATCTTCCCTAAAACTCCCACCCACACGGGGCTGTCTTCGCCCCTTTCGGTCTGATTTCTGCTCTGACGTGCCTGCCCCTCATGAAAAGAAAGAGTGGCAGGGACGGCCTGGCCACCAGTAACATCCCCTCAGCTGGTTCTACCAAGACCAAAGCTGTGTCCCAAATGTCCTAGGGAAATAGGAAGCAAGCCAGGAGTTGAGGCTCCTCTGTGGCACATCCACAAAAGCGTGACTTCACATCCTGAGCAGAAGCTCAGCCAGCCTGCCAGGGCCTGGTGTGCACACGCACGCGGCCGTGCTCTGTGCCCACGACCCAGCTGCAGCCCAGGGACCATGTCTTCCAGGGCCTGCTAGTTGGGTGTGTGGCCCTTGGGGAGCCTGAGGGGCAGCGAGAAGAGCCCTCCAGGAGGAGCTGTGCCTCGCCCCTCTCACTTGCTCCCCCACCGCCCTCCACGGCTGACAGCTCCCATCCCTCCGCAGGGCTGACCTGTTTCCATGGCAACCGGAATCCTGGGCTCTGGCAGCCTCTGGTCTTGCCACCTGTTATTACTTCATCTCTCAAG